AGCATCATGTGGGTCATGTAAGTAGTTATTTATTATAGTTTAAGTGCGGTTGTTTATATTTTTAAGTGTATTTTAAAAAGTATTTTATTTGAAAAAAATATTAAATTAATATTGTTTTTAGTGTTTTTTTAATAATTTTAATATGTTAATATTAAAAATAAAAAAATATTTTCATATAATTTTACATAAAAAAATACTTTTAAAAAGTACTTCCCTGTCATATCAAGCAACTAATAAATACAGTTTAAGATATTGATATTCTTGTTATATTTGTATTTTATCCTAGTAACTGTTTGATTATTATTTCTAAATAAAAAATTAAAATAAAAGGAACATGTTTTCTTATATTTTGTTTTGAAAATATAAAAATTACTTAAAAATTATTTCAAAGATATTTATTTTATATCTCTATTTTTGTTTTTCAAACTAAATACATTTTTGCCTTTACTTTTTTTTTCCAAGACAATAACTAAATATCACAATAATAAAAATTTAGATATTCATCAAGGATTCATTACTAGAAAAATATTTATTATTCAATAAAAACATAAAGTAATATATACATTAAATGACAAGATATATATATATATATATATATATATATATATATGTATGTATGTATGTATGTATGTATGTGTTTGTTATATTAATATAGGGGTATTGTTGATCGATTGATCATTGATTATTTAATTAATATGTTACTTGTCTTTTGTTTTGTTCTTCTAATAAAAAAGAAATAATAATTAGAAATTGAATTTTAGTTAAATATATATAGCAACCTCATAAATCAAAGTGAAGTGTGGGCTTTTAAACTTAACTTTAACATATTAAAAATACAGGGGAAAAAGATATATGTAATATGCATGAACATTTTCGCCCAACTTAATATATCATGTCAGATCCAAAAAAAATTGAATAGATCAAGTATATATTTTTAAACAATATCAAAAGTTGGGTTAGATATAATTATAGATCAAAACCAATCCATTATATTCATGAACAAACATAATAAAATCAAGTAAAAATAGTTGATTGTTCATATTTATAATAATAAAATTTACCGTAATACTATCAAATACGATGATAGAAAGGTTAAAGTTCATGTTTTTGTTAATTATTTATCAAAATTAACTTCTAAACTACAAATGAGCCCAAAATAATATATATATATATATATATATATATATATATATATATATATATAGGAGATTAATCAAAGATTATTATAATAATATGGTATCATTACTCTATAATTATAAGGATTGTTTTGTTTGGGATTATGATGAGATTCTTAAGTTAGACATAAGTTAATCAAACATCTATTATTAATCAAGTTTAGGTTTAAGACATAAAGCAATCTTTTTTTAGAATGACTTTATATATAATTGATAATGTGAAAAAGAAAATAAAATGAATGTTAGAGGATGGATTCATTAAGCCAACTAAATATGCTGAGTAGATTTCTAACATTATGCTAATACTAAAAAAGAATGGAAAACTAAAAGCTTGTTTATATTTTATAAATCTTAATTTTACAACATCAAATGATAAATATTTAATGTTAATGATTAATATATTAATCAATTCAATAACAAAGAATGACATCCTTAGCTTTAAGAATATCGTTTTTAGATGTCCTGGCTCATTAAAAATATATGAGTAGGTAGTGATGTCATTTGTCCTTAATATTATTATTGTTACTCGTAAAAAGCTATGATTTTGATTTTTCATAATATAATTAATCATAAGATAGAGATTAATAATATTATGATGAAATAAAAATAAAAATAAAAATCTAGTTATTTAGATAAGCCATATTATATTATAACCCTGAGTGAATATGAATGTATAATTTCAAGATAAATTTATAAAAATATGCCTTTTATATGCATGTATAGGGGTAAATAAAAACAAAGTAAAGGAAATTGTGAAAGCTTGACCTCCATGAATAAAAAGAAAATTATAAAATTTTCTAGGTAAAATTAATTTTCTAAAGAGGTTTATATCAAACTCTTTGAGAAAGATTATGTCATTTACTAAATTACCAAGATAGAATAACATATATAAGTTTCAATGGATTAATATCAAATTGCATTTCAAAAAATAAAAACTTATCTAACTAAACTTTTAGCATTGACCATACCAAAACCTATGTAGCTTTTAAGGCCATATATTTTAGTTGTACAAGGGTTGATTAGAAAAATGCTTGCGTAGAAAAATAAAATTGATTATGAATAAATTATTAATTATCTCGATCAAGTTTTTATAGAGGTTGAAAAATGAAATATTTTAATTAAAAAAACTTTGTTTATCCTTATATTTTATTAGTGTAAAGTTATATTGGTACATACTAATAGTTGAACTATATATATTATAAAATAAATTTGATAAAATATATATTCTTTAAACCTTTCTCTCATGATCAAATTGGTAATTGAATATTAACATTGTTTGAACTCGATTTACATTGTATTCCTTAAAAAAATAGTAAAATTCAAGTTTTGACTAATTTATTAGTTGATCATCACTACTTTCATATCAATCATGAACTAGAACAAGATATGAATGTTATTATCCCAAGACTTGTTTCACAAATGTTAAATTTTAATGGATTAAAAACCAAAAATAAAGCTTGCACATAGGTGTTAATAATTTCTCTAGAAGGACATGAAATAGTTTTATTATTTTATCTTGATTTTTCTTTTACTAATAATCAAATTGTGTATAAGACCTTAATTAAAATTTTAAAAATACTTATAAATTTAAAAGCTTAATCAACTAGAATAAGAGGAGAATCATTACTCATCATAAAAAAGTTATCTAGTGAGTATAAGTGCGAATATCTTATACCAACTTTATATTATATGGTGAACAAATACCCTATTAATAAATTTTCTAATTTCATTAATTTTTTATAAGAGAAAATAATATATAAACCAATAACTTAGCTCAATATGGATCAAGATCTAAAATAATCATCGATCATTATAAAATTATTTATATAAGGATTATTAATTAACCAGTATAGCTAATATATAGTAAGGAAGTAATGATGATAAGAAAAATGTTCATATTATATGGTAAAAAAAACACAAAAGAGTAAGATAAAATTATTGCAAAACTTTTTTACCAAATAACATGTAGAAGGTCTTAATATATCAAGTGACATTGATCCATAAAATGATTAAGGAGAAGAAATCAAATCTTATGTGTAGGATCCTTTATAAAAAGTTTAAAAGTTATTTAGATTAAATGCATCCCATCATATTTTCTTAGAATATGAGTTATGTAAGAGATATAAAACTAGAATTTTTATAAGATATTTAGGATAAAAAAAGTATTATTAGTCATGATTGATGTTTATAAAAGACTTTGTAAGGTTGTTGATCATTCAAATATTTTTTTTATAAATATAATATCAATTTATAATTTTTATATTCTAATAAGGAGCAACTATATATTAGGAATTTAATCCTAATAACAAACATCTAAAAACCTCATTAAATCAAGAAAAATATAGAGATCTAAGAGTTCAAAGCTTTTAAAAAGGTAATTTTTATCATAGCAACACCACATGGACAATAACATATTTAAAATTAAAAAGATAAATAATTTGAATAAATTTATGTTTAGAAAAATGAAAGAAAGTTGTAAAGAAATAATAAAAACCCTTTAAAGGAATATCTACACACACACACGTATATAGAGTGATGCAGTCTAGGTCAAGTGTTGATAACTTTGTTTGTTTTGTATTTATCTAATTTTCATTTAGTTTTATTAAATATATGTATTAATTTTTTAATTTACAATTAAATTTTTCATTAAATTTAAAAAATACAGTGGCAATGCTTGCTAATTTATTTTTTTAAGATGAGAAAAATTCATTTTATCCCCCATGATATTAACACATGTTAACTGACAGATTATATATAATTTATAATACACCTAAATTTACTATTATGATACTTTTTTTTTAAGAAATCCAGCACATTTTAACTTATATATAAAAGTATCATTGTAATTATTTTTTAAAATATTTTTTATTTAAAAATATATTAAAATAATATTTTTATATTTTTTAAAATTATTTTAATTATAAACTTAATCTGATAAACATATCTCATCATAATTGCAGGCAACAAAGGAAGATTCTTTCACAAAGCGCTAACATCACAGTTTATTTTTGTTTTTTGTTTTTTATTTTTAAATGGCTGCTATTTTTTTTCATTTTAATTCCTAAATTTTAATTTGTTGCTAATAATAAAACAAGTTGAAATAAAATTAAACATTAATATAATATTGGGATATTTTTTAAAACAGCTATAATTTTATAAAAAATAAATTAATTATTTATTTAACATTATAATAACTTTTAATTTTTAAATTATTTTAGCTTGAAAAAATATCAAATTAATTTATTTAAAATATTTTAATATATCATGTAAAAAAACCTCTTGAAAAATTATTTTAATTAAAAAAATATTTTTAAAAAGCAACCTAAACCTCAATACCAAACACACATTAAAAATCTAATTTCTTATAAACAAAATAAGGTTAAAAATTAAAAAACAATTACCATACAAATCAATAATAATTTATCTCTTCACCTAGAGTCCCTTTAAATTTTAATTTAAAAGATGTATCCCTTTAAATTTTAATTTAAAACATGTTTGGAATTATAGTATAAAATACTTTTCAAAATAATTTTTTTAATTTTATTTTTAAGATCAAAATTATAAAAAGAATATCAATTTAATATTTTTTTAAAATCAAATACTATTTTAAAAAATATCTATAAAAATTTTAGCGGGAGTATTCCATGCGCATCCTCCATCTTGCCGTGATTCACATCTCTAATTTTTTTAACGCCCCATCCAAGGATGACCATAATGAACTCATCCCTGCAACCCACCTGGTACATAGTATCTGTGAAAATCACCAAGCACGGCCTCCATCAACAATCATCTATTTTTTTTGAAAAGTAGAGAATCATGAAGACATTCCAAACCAAACATATTCTATATTTCGAATTCTTAATAGTACAAAGAAATTGCCACCAAGGGCTTGCAAATGCTGGCTGATGGCGTTGGCTTGCATATTTGGCACAATGCCAGTATTTTAACCCTGCCACTTACATATTTTCCTGTTTGATTATTACAGAAGCAGGGGATTTGAAAGGGAAATAAGACCAGCAAACGACTATCCACCTGTTTAGTCATTCATCAGGCCCATTGTTGACCTTTATCTCTACAAGCCTGTCAACTGGTTGCCTGCAGATGGGGCATCTGTTCGTTGAGAACCTCAAAACCTTTGCACATCCACTGCACATACACTGCACCGTGGGAGAAGAGCGGGGTGAAAAAAAAAACAAAAACAAAGAAAGAAAGAAAGAAAGCAAAAGCAAAAAAGACACTAGGCTAATGTGTCACGAACAAGATATCGACTGGATTTCTAAAATCAGATAACTTAACCACTTAAATGGAAATTCATGTAGAAGCATTTTAGTCTATTAATTCACCATGGGTTACATTGTTAATGCACTGGCAGTAGTACACAACATTCCAGACAGTTCAGCCTTGAACCTTCACCTGGAATTCACAGGACTCTTTTAATGCAGCATTTTTGCAATTGCATTGGATATAGACACAAAACAGCAGGAAACCGTTTTCTGTAGCCTTCACAACTTAACAGGATGGTTTTTCACCATGATAAATAGTCCTTCGTTGAAAAACAACACCTTAAAATATGAACAGTTCCTTGTTTCTTCCCCTTCATGATCTAAACTACCCCAGCCCAGTGAAAAAGTAAAAATGAGAGAGAAAGAGAGGCAAAAGAAAAATAAAGAAAATAGGCTTACCATGTGTCGGCAAGGAAGAACGAGAGTGTCCAGTGGTTCTGACAGGCAAATGACACATTCCTTACCTGGGTCATTTGCATCCACATCACCATCAACAGAATTTCCAATCACGTATATCTCCTGAAGCTCAAATCTCATCCCATTCACCCAGAGGATCTGCTTCATCACCTTTACTTGGTACTCACCTTTCTCCTTCTCAAACACTGCATGTGTTATCTGAGAGTTCTCAGCTCCAGACATTTTGTTTCCTTCTGTTCCATTTTGATTAGCAGGGGATGCCTCTGCTTTTACAGCTAGAGGATACGCATCCATCTCACCCACTTTTACCAACTCTTTCTCCTCAAACAAGGTGAAATCAATCCCTGTCCCAGAAGGCTGTCTGAACTTCTGCCCCAGACCTTGTTGGAAATTAACTGTTACTGGTGGAAGGAGGTCTGCCTTCGTTGGTGTCAGGATACAATCCTCGCCTTCTTTTGCAAGGAAAATAATAGTGATGCTGCATGCAGATCAAAGAAATGCCGAGTGTTGCAAGAAATTAATACCACATGTTCAATAACAAGAAATGCAAACGAGGAAAAAATAATTCAGACATTCTGCTGAAATGCATATAAACCGGGATAAAAACCAATTATGACTGAACACAAAGCTTATATGAATTCAATAAAACTAAGAGTGGATCAGAATTTATGCATGTCTTGCAAAAGAAAGTACCAAGAAAGCATCCACAATACATCAAAAAGATCAATGATGATACCGACAGTAGCAATTAGGAAATACTACTGAGCACAGTCAAATGCATGGAAGTAAAAAATAAATAAATCAGTTCATCATTGTACAATCATTTACCATTCCCTTTGTCTATGAGTTACTAAGCTAGATGCTGAACGATGATTATGAGATTGTTAGCAAGACTTTTTCTCAGAGTATTATTTTGTGATAGAAATTGACACGATTAGGACACATGATCTACATTTGCTATATCATTTCCTTTTATAGAACACCATAGTTTCCAGCTAAGAAAGTGACATGTACTGAAAATGATAGTGTCTTTCACTCGATTCAAGCTATTGAAACTCTTATGCATGACATCCAATTGATAAAAATTGCATTTTTGGGTTCCGAGCTTGATTTTCCATAATGATTATGGGCACTTAAAGGACAATAAATTTCTTTTTTATTTTTATCACTTAAAGGACAACAAATTTCTTTTTTATTTTTATTTTTTTATGACACAACTCAAAAATAAAAGGTCCACTATGGCACTATCCAATTACAGCACACCACTGAAGAGGGCAAAAGGACGGAGTTTACAAGCTTCCCAACCCTTGAACCTCATTGCATGAGATAGGAGCGGTGCTCTCAAGATTCAAACCCCAAACTTCAAAGATGCGTGTCTATTTTAACATTCCACCAAGAATGACCTCTATGTAGGTGGATTGGAAGAATAAAAAACCATTCCATTTATCAGTCATGATAAAATCCCATTAAGACCAGAATGCCATACAGTCTTTAAAACATAGCACAAGCTGAGAAACCTAACTGAACACCTGTTCCAATGGTCTCTTCACTGAAGAGTCATTCAGAAATAACCCCAGATTCATCATCTCGTCAATTTTGTGAACAATCCCAATTTCTAAGACAAGATTAGATGTCTTAAGCAGGCACAAGGATCTTTGATTAGGAAAATCCTCTGAATTACCCATGAATCCATAACTTAGCTAATAAGAACGTCAAGTTAGCTCTTGCTTTCTACCTTTCTATCCAAGGAGTAACTTTGACACTCGAACATCTATAAAAGTGGATTCGCTCCGAGAACAATCCTCAACGATGATAGCTAAAAAATACAATTTTCGAATACTGGCACCATATCGAGATGATTATCACCAAGTAGTGATCAAACCATGTAAAATGAAATTATTAGTAAATCATCCACTGGCCTACTAGCAAGAAGTTAAACCAGGGAGTCAACAATCAAGATTTTATATAAATACTCATTCAAAATTCTCTCAGGTCAAAAACTTTCAAAGTCAAATTACTTTAAAAAGAACAGGCTCCTTCAACAATCAAACTCCAGTACTGCTATCAAACAATGACGGAAAAAACCTTCAAAAAATTAAAAAAAAACTTTCTACACATGCAATTACAAAAGCACAGCATCAAAACAAAAACAAAAACAATTTTTATAACAAAGCTTTAACCTTTACCTTCCAGCAACAGTAGCATCAAACGTGAATGTAACAAGATAGCTCCCTGGATTCTCCTCGTCCGGTTCAATCCTCAAACTCTCCTTCTTCAAATTAACATCATTCCTTACAAAACCGCCTTCTGGTGCTCCACAGAAGGCGCCGGTTGGGGCATCATTGGGCACCTCCCACCCACCCAATGAGCCGCCGGATGGTCCACCCGGTGGTGATGATCATACGGGGCTGGCAAAGGCACAGGCATCGCTGTTGGCTGGGATGGAAAGTAGCCAGGGTGCTGGTAGTATTGTGGAGGATTAGGGTTTGGGTATTGCGAAGGGTAAGGTGTTGCCGCGGCGAAAACGTAACGGTTGGCCGTGATTTCAGGCTGTGGGGGTGCTGGCGGTGGAGGTGGAGGGTGGCTCCGCCGGCTGCCGAGGCTCCGCCCGCTGTTAACGTTGTTTCTGCTGCTGATGTTGCCCATGATGAAGTTTTGGGTTGGGTTGGACTGTTTCTATCTTTTTTAGGTTCACAGTTCGCTAAAAAAACAGGTGTGAGAATTATCCAGTAGCTTTGTTTAACTGTAACAGACAGGAGCGGGTC